ATCCAGTGAATAGAGATATACATTAACTGAAACAACAAACATGCTCATTTGTCTTCTACATTTATCTGCATTTTTCATCTGCTCACTGGTTAGTGCAAACTCAAAGTGCAATTATAGCGATTATATTCAATATATATATTTTACATTTTTTCTTTATTTAGGATCATCACATGTCAACCATTCAATCATCAGGGGTTACATTCTTTTACAGTCTGATCCCTTTTTTTCCGTATAAATACACATCACATTACAACATTAATTAGAAAAGAACATGGGGTGCTGCATAAAAATAAAACTACAGAAAAAAATCACAAACACAAAAACAAACAAGCAAGATGATGTTTAGTAGGCTTCTTTCTTTTTAAACATAGGTTGGGCATCTCGGGAAAATATACATTTTCCATTTCTTCCAAATTTCCTCAAATTTATGGTCCTGGAGCCTCAAAGAGAAAATAATTTTCTCCATTACATAGATTTCATCTATAATATCATACCACTCCTTAATAGATGGGGTATCTGGTTTAAGCCATTTCTTTGTGATTGTTTTCCTAGCTGCTGCACTCAGTATTCCAAACAGTTTCTTTGTTGTAATGTTTGTGCTGGGTGAAAATTGGAATCCAAAAAAAAGTTTGTCCCAGTTGAAAGTTATTTTTGTCCCAAATCTGATTTCTAATTTGGAATGAATCTTACGCCAGAAAGAGTGTACCTTTGGACAGTCCCAAAACACGTGACAGTGATTAGCATCCTGAGAGCCACAATTCCTCCAACAGCTGGAGGTACCTGAATAGTGAGATGATTGAACAGGGGTAATGAAATATCTTAGCAATTTCCCTGAGGTTTTATACTGAAGGGATCAATAAAGTTTTATTCTAATTCTAATTCTAATTTTTATTCTAATATCTACAAAGAGTCTTCCAGCCAAATGTTCTCCAGAAAGGTGAGCTTGAGATCCTCCACTGAGATTCAAAAATATTTAGTCCATGCTTCCCCTGGAATGCACTTATTACTCTCCTTTTCCCATTTTTGTTTGATATATGTGCTATCTACTATTCTGATATCCTGGAGTCCCTTATAAAGCCTTGATATTACTTTAGACCCCGAGTTGTTTTTATATGCACTAATGAAGATTTTCATTAGGTCGTTTTCAAAAGCAGCTCTACTCTTTGTCATGGAATTGTTTATGTGATGGCGTATCTGCAGAAATCTAAAAGAAATCATTGTTTTTTATCCATGTAGTCCCTTAAGTGTCTGAAAATCATTCATTTTACCCTGATCAAAAAAGGTACAGTATGATGAAAGGCCCTGATGCGCCCATCCTTTATAGCTTACGTCCAGTTTGTTTGGGGTAAAATTGATATCATGAGAGCACCAATTAAGAATCTTTATCTCCATCAATAGGCCATATTTAGTAATAACATTTAACCAAACTTTCAGGGATAAATTGATCCAGTTATTACCTATTTCCACTACTGACAGTTTGCCTTCCTCTTCCTCGTCGTGTTTATTTCTTTGCGTTTGTCTTTTCTTCACTTTTTGGGGCATGTTCTTTCCCCTGCTGTGTCCCCCCTTGTTGTAACACGTCTTCGAGAAAATTCGAGTTATATACGGACACTTTTTTCACACTTACGACCAGGTCAAGAAACAGCTGGAGAGACTGAACCGGAACAAGGCTGCAGGTCCAGATGGTGTCAGTCCCAGAGTTCTCAAGACCTGCTCAGAACAACTATGTTCGGTTCTCCAGCACCTTTTTAACACCAGCCTGAGACAGAACAGAGTTCCAGT